GTTTTTTGCAATAACACACTTATGGTCAGACCAGTGTACAGAGTTAGAAACAGTTTCCTGTTATTCTTCCATACATTTACATGATATGGAATATCATATATCATTTTCTTGGCCTTTAGCTAAAATCAAATCTATAATTATCAATAATAGATCATCCTAGGTTTTGCTGCAACCTGACACTAACTGACGCTGTAATCTCCATGGCCCTTATCCTTAGCCTCCTTTCACTATCTTGTTCTAGCTGTTTAAAAAGCTGACAACAGAATATGCCAAATTCCACATGCCAAGTCTCAAGTAGTTCTGAAGAAGCACACTGGAAGTTAGATTTCTTGTCCTTGGTATCGTTAGATTCTGAGCAGTCTGGTAAATTATGGAATGAAGTGTCTCGTTGGTTAAATCTGTAAAACTCACATGTTCCGTACATAAGTTGAAATTGTATCTAAACTTTAAAGTTTCCATACAGACTGTTAGAATATACTTAGCCATAAAGTATGTTGTCTGAATTTCTCAGTTTCTCTCCGTAACTAATTTCTGAAATTGTTATGGGGACAAAATAGGGAGGGGGCATAGAATCAAGTATATTACGCTGAACGAGGAAATTTGGGCTACAAATGGATCTGTCTTCATCTCCTACATTAGCCTATCATTAAAATGTTGATCTTTTCTCTCTTGCAAAGTTGAAGTGCTTATTCACCTATCCTAGGGAAGCAGAAAACTATACTGGCATGAAATTTGCTGCCCCTGACTCCTGCATCTGTTTCAACTCCCTACAGTCACCTGATTCCCTCCAAGGTAATGAGTAACAAAACCAACTTTTTTTTACATCTAGAGGCTGCCTTAAATGGTATGTGAATAAGGGATAAAACAGTACTTTAACACCAGATACTGGAAGAGCTAAGTATGGCTTAAACCTGTGTGAGCTGGGGATGCATTGAAGACAATGTTGTGGGGATAGGGGGAAAACGCTTTCTATTATGTTTAGATGCAAGGTGTTAAAGGTCATTTAATCTCTAAACAGCCTACATATATATTAATATTTATTTGTGGGAAAAAGTAGTACTAATTAAACACACACAGACACACACACACAATTTGCATCCTGTATATAAAATACTTGATTAAACTTTTCATCACAGAACTAATTATAGTTTTGTTTTTTAACATGAGCTGGTTATTTCACAATGGCCCAAAATGCTTTTTTTTTTTTTTTTTTTGCTGGGATTAGTAATTTTCTCTCTCTCAGCGCAATGATTACTCTTTCTCCCCTCCCCCTTAGTTTGGCCTTGCACAAATATGATTACTTTAGGGAGATGGAGAAGAGATTTGCTTAGCGAAAAGCAGAACAACTGCTTCAGAACCTGCAGAGTTTTGTCCTGCTTTAGGAGCACATCAGAATCTCTCAGACATTCCTGACAACAAGGAGCCAGAACAATCTAAGCCTGCAGTCACATGAACTAGGACAACATCCGATTAAACTCAGTGATATTTATTTTATTGGGTAAACATGCAAATAATCAGGTTGCATCCCCAGGAATTCGAAGGAGCGGAATTCTTTTCCCAGAAGAGGCTATATGTCAGTATAGATTTCTTTCTGTTACTGTTCCTTACATTTTGAGTCCTGAAAACATCCAGCTAGAGAAAGAGGGCACAAAACAGATTCAAATTAACTGAAAAACGCAAACCATACTGAACTCTGTCGAAAGTTGGAAAGCCGACCAATTTTACTTACACGTCCTTGCCTCCGAGAGAGAGATCGCGATAGCTGTAATAAAGAGGCAGTAAATAAGCAAGCAAATAATGTGCTGAAGTCTCATTCTTAGGGGAGAAGCTGCAGTGGGATAAGCTGGTCGGTGTGTCTTCTTTTGGAGCTAGGAAGCGGACGCTGGCATCTGCTCTCAGTTACCGTTTGCTTATTCACACGGTGCCGGCGAGCGAGGACAATGTTCTGCCGGTTCCAGTCCTCCTGCAAAGCGGGGGGGAGGGGGTTGGGGGATGGCCTCATTCGAAGGCAAGAGAGTTCCTGGAAGCAGCCCTGTCCATTTCATGCGGTGGGTAAACAGGAAGGCCGAGGGGAGGACGTTATGGCAGTGGCCCAGAGGCTGCTGAACCTCCCACGGGGCTGATTTCTAACCATTTGCTAAAAAAGACACTGTGTGTGCGTGCGCGCGCGGGTGCGAGGGAAAGAGGCGGAGGGGAGGACAAACTGCTTTTTGGCTGTGCTCTTCCAAAGGTTCATTGCCATAACACAGAAGCGGGGATTCATCCTCAACTCGGTGCTCCTTCCAGAATCAAAAGCTGCTCCTCTGCTACCGTTAGGCTGTATTTGCACAGCGAGTGACAAACCAAGCCACCACAGTTTAGTGCTTATAAGATCCCAGCCTCTCTGCCTGATATCGCGGATCGGTCTGACGCAATCTCAAGAGAATTTACTTTGCTGAATGAACTGTGGTTCATTTAATTGTTGGGAAAAGTATCATGTGATATTAGCCCCTAGAAAACATTTAAGAATGTTTTCTTGAATCTGAACTTTACCTTGCCTTATTCATCTTATAGATATGCCTTCCCAGGCTACCCATCTCCAAATACGTACAACTCTCATACTTACGCCCAAGCTGGTTCCAACATTTTAAACGAACTCAAATCTAATCGAAATTCCTTTTTCATAAAATGGAATCTTTTAATGTAACTTTAGACAACTCATTTCCTGGCTTCTTGAAGACCATCCTCCAAAGACCAACATCAATGAAGTGAATTACTATGTATGACTGTATAAGTGAATTACTACATAATTAGCTCAGTCCTGGCCTTAACTTGGGAGATCAAAGCTATCAGGAAGGAGGGGGTGCATTCCAGGAGAGAGGAGGATGGAAGAGGCAGCTGAGTCCACAATAGGAGCCTGGGAAGCAGAAGAAGTTCAGGATAGCCACTCCCTAGAATCTCACTGGGTATATCCACTAGTTGCTGTAGTATAGTTTTAGTTTGGCAAGATTCTGTCTATAAGGTGTAAGGTAATAAAGGGACTGGACTGGACTGTTTCATTGTTGTCCTTGGGCTGGGCTTGACACTTAATTACATATTACAATTGAACTCTAAACAGGGATCACTTATTGATGAACAATAAAGGAACTTGCATGGCATCTTAAATGGCATGTGTTAGTGAATTCCACTAATTGACTTAAAAAAATAAATAATTCTAAGTAGACAGACACATAACTTTGTGTTGTAATGCTACAGTCCTACACTCACCTGGCTCACAACGCTATACTCTAAAAGCTGGAGGTATCATGACCCACTGGTGAAAATTTCCATGAATTTTACATGGTGAAATACTCACTAAAGTATCTGCAAGTCTTAAGGGACCCATCTGGGGACTTTTGGGGATCACAAAAAGAACATATGATAGACTGCACGCAGCTCCTTTTTTGTACCACTGATGTTCAGGACTGAACTGCAAGCAGTTTATTGGCACACACTTTCGTGGACTGGAATAATTTTACCTATTAAGAGTTTGGTCATTCTAGAAAGCCTCAGCAAGTGGTAGCTTGGCTGATATCAGAAGCTAAACAGGGTCAGCCTGATTAAGCAAATTCCTGGGAGTTCCAGGGCTGTTGGTTAGACTAGGAAGTTGGAAAAATGTCCTGGAAAAAGGCAGTGGCCAACCAGTTCTGTAACATTGCCAAGGTAACTGCATGGATGTGCTCACCATTCTAGAAATTACTTCTTGTAATAGCATAGGAGATAGTTGTCTGATAAGTGTCACTGTATAGCTTGTTATTACAAAGGCCATTTAAGAAAAAAAAATCTCAGTCCACACAGGGAAATCCATTAGGTCAACTTGAGGTCACAATATACAGTACAAGGTTTTCTGATCTCAAGACAAGGCAAGTTAGTAAACAAAAGGGGAAAGAAAGGATGGGAAAAAGGGGCAGATATTTACTAGTTTACCAAAACACACACACACACACATCTGGTCAATATTTCATATGTTCTAAATCCATGTTTATTATGAAGGATTTTAAATGATTCCATTGTAAATGACATTTTTATTGCCTGATGCAAAAGAACAAATCTTACCCCAATCAGAAATTTAAGGTGCTTAAAGCTGAAGCAGGACACTCTACAGATGACATCTGAACCACTTCAGGATCTGTCTTCTCTCCTATAATCCCATATTGACTGGACAGTTACAGCTGTAGTGTGAGACCTCAGAAACATTAAAAATAGTGAAAACAAAAAATGTAGCCAGGTGAAACTCCTTCAGAGTAGAAGTATTAGGGTGCCTTTCAGGAACCCTTATTAATATACTTTACCCAGAGGAAGTGATTAAAGTCTCATTGAATTGCAAGTTGCTTGACCTCTGGCAAATGGCCAAGCAAGGACCAACAGTCCTGTAGCACCTAACTCTGCCTCTTCTTCCGTAGAAAGGATGGTTCCTTTAGTAGGACCAACCAATACAATATAAAAGAATGTGGAAATGTTAAACTTCTCCAGGGCTTCATCAAGTAATAGACTGCCAAAGTATTTTGATTTTTTTTCTTTGGCGGTCAATAGACAAGAGTGAGGTTATACTGAATCTGGATATACAGCCTCCTAAAATCTTTACAGATTTTTTCCCCCTTGCATCCGCTCGGTTGCTTTCCACGAGCGCACGCGCACTGGGAAAAGCAGCAACCCAATTCAAGAATTCCAGGCGTAGCTCCGTCACTCTGGAAACGAAATCCTGCCTCCTTGGGGACCAATGATTGCTAGGGAGCCATCAGTCAAGCAATCTTCCATTGGCTGTTTCCTTTCCTCATTTTCCGTCTCTCTCTGTCTGTCTCTCTCTGTCTGTCCCTCTCTCTCTTTCGTAGCTAAGGGAGACCAGCGTAGTTACGCGTCCTTCCTGCGCATCGTTGCTATCGGAGACCTAGCCAATAAGCAAACTCCAGGAGCATCATGTGACGAGGGAGAGTTAAACCTGCGAAAGAGGCGTGGTCACGTGGCTTTGTAGAAGGGCCGCCCCGGGAATCTGTGGCTACTGTAGGATTTCTCAGCGACAGGGCGACGAGAAGACGGTCAGGGGCCCTTACGGGTGGGAGCGTTTTTTGAAACTAACTTAATGTGGGAGTGAAGGAGGCGCTTGGGGTGCTGTTGCAGCCCGAAGGCTTGGCACGTTCCCGTTCTTTCTCCAGCCACTCTGGTAAATCACTGGTAACAGGTCAGTGCTCCATAACGCGGCCCAAATCCTTTAGTCTGGTCTGCTGGGCACGCTGTTAGTGCGCTGGTACGACACAAATACGCGAGTCGTGGTGAAAAACTGAACTGAGACCCACAAGACTTGAGTTGGCGTCGAATAGCTGCCCCCCTGCGTGGGTCTCTCGCGTATGCACACGCTCACGACTTGGGCTTACTTGTGAAGATATGCCACGCTGGATTTCTTGTAGGAGTTTAAAATGGATGATTTAATGCAATTCATATTTATGTTGCCTTATTAGAGAATGCAGCACATTGTAGAATATAAAAGCAAAAGCAGTTACTTTCTAATATAGGACCAAAACTTATAATTATTTGTAAGTTTGTATAATAAGCATGGCCAACTCACAAAATACACTTTTTGGGAATATGCATTTTTAGTCTATGGGGATAACAGTGTTTTGTTATTTGAGCAGTTTAATATAACACTAAGGAGGAAACCTGAATTTGCCAGTAGAGAAGCCTTTGATGGGAGCCATAGCCAACGGCAGCATGAATCAAAATTAACTATGCATTAGTCACAGTTGTACTCTTCACATTTGATATTGCACATAACATATGATGAAACACTCATGGATGTATGAAATAGCACTGAAAAGTTGTGTGGCTCAGTAATAATTAGAGAATGATCTTGTAGTTATGATTTAAAAGCCATCTTTGATCCAAGGAGCTCTCTGACTTAGCCAAATCCCCTCATCATAAATAAATAAATAAGCCTATTACTTTTATAATTACTGGTTCAAAATCCAATATAGTTAACTACATTTTTAACTGCATTTTTAAAAACACATACATATACACTATTAAACCTTTTGTGTACATTCTAAAATCAGCCTACAGCAGATCTGTTTTAATTGAATAATATGATACTAATGAAATAATATAATAATAGATGTCACAATTGGATGCATAAAGCCTTCATTATTATTTACAAATCCTATTACTATTTACAAATTTATCATGTGCCCTGTCTTTTAACTGTTTATTTATAGAGTGACCTACTTCACTGTCTACTTACGTTAAGATGATTGTAAGATGATTCAGGCTTGTTACCAGTCTTTCTGATAGCTCAGTTGTTAGTCTAAGGACCAGTGCTTGCCCAAAGGTGTGCCTATAATATGGAGATTGCTAGGAAAAATTGTCACATTTATTGTATTTAAAACATTGTTAGCCTTTACAATTCCTTATGTGGCATACTTTGAATACAGTAAATTATTATTTTTTAAAAATATATCATTGGATTTATAGCCCACTTTTCTGTCCATTTGATATTGAAGAAAGCTTTTGATATTTTATTTTCATTTACTCAACCAGTTTTAGCCACCCTTTTCCTTTGACTTGTTTAGTTTTAACATTTATTGTAAAAATATCTTATGTTCTGTGGAATTCTGTGAATATCCTGCTTTTGTTGAATGTAGCTTTTACAAATCCAATATCTGAGAATATTCAATAAACCCTTTCCTGCTTGGAGAATGGGGTAGAAATCTGTGACTATGTACACTTATGTGCATGGTGATCTAAAAATATTACCTTGCTCAGATAAAAGATTACTGTGCTGTACTCTGGTTGTATGTGTAACATTTTAAATAAGATGTAGCTCCACAAAATAAAAGCTCAGTCTGGGACCAACAGTGCTTACTATCTTATAGAAGTAGCTCTTTAGTGAGATGGGTTTAAAGAATAAACTTGTCAACAACTTATTGTGTATTCTTACTCGCCCTTTTCTTTATTTTGGCAATAGGGCAACATTCAAATTGATCTCTTCCACTGTGAGTTCCTCTTGATTGAACACCCTGGAATCAGTCTATATATCATACCTGCAATTTATTTAGTGCTCTGAATGGCTGTTGGAAAGGGATGTACAGTCTGATGGCCAATTGCTGCAGCTGGCTAAAGCGGTGGCGAGAGCCTGTCAGGTAAATAACCAGGCTTTAAAATAATCATTTTTTTAGTATATTTGAAGATTATAGTTTTTATAGCAGGTATCACAAATATGATATGTAGGCCCTGTAGTTAACTTGTTTTCACAGAGGACAGACTGAGGCAAAATATTATCTGAAATACTATAAGGAAAGTTCTTATAATTTAAATTTATTATGTCATATGCTTTTAGAAACTGTAGGCCACTAGTCAGATGCATGAAATGTTATTGATACCTTTTGGGGAGGGAAGAGTGGGGAGAGTCTATAGTAAGATCAGAGGGAAACAAAATGCATGAGTATTGTCCATTTTAAGCTTATGACAGATTTTTGTGCTTTTTGCCTATTCTGTTGGCCATGCTGCAAAGATCTTATATCAGGCATAGTTCCAGTTATCCATTGGCCCTGTTTACAGAGAACAAGGCTTATATGAGAAATTGTGAGGAGACTGGAAAAGTAATGGAAAGGAGAATAGCCATTAACAGTTAAGAGACAGAAGGTGAGTCTGTTGGCAGCTTGTCTGTAAAAGGCAACTCAGTCCAGGTCGCAAGAAACCTGGGAAGAAGCATTTCAAATTATTTAAAGGAACTTCATTTTAATTAGTTCACTATAAATTAGGATTAGAAATTCCTCTTGCAGTTTGCATGATACTGTATTTGCTCCAAAACTAGACTTAGATACTTTACTGAAGTTGTGTAGTCCATGCTTCCTTGATCTTGCTATGTTGTGTGGTTCTTGATAGAAGAATTCTATATCATTGTTTAGAAGCAGATTGCTAGTTCATAGTGTCTAGTGGCTCCTCTGACTCATTCTGCCAACATAATGGATTATGTTGAAGGATTAATACATCAGTCTCTGGGACCCAGAGATGCCCAGATTGCACTGTCAAAAATAGGCAATCGGCAGTAATTTTCAGCAGCAGATTCTTATATTTTTGGAAGATTTCATCTTCCATCCAAAAATGAACCTAAAAATTTGAATGGGACAGGGACAAAGCAAAAAAGCTTCACTCCCTAATGGTTGTTAAAGGCCGGGGGCGGGGGGAGTTTTCTATCTCTATGCTAGTGGGAGGCAACTAAACTGTTCAGAAACCATCATGGGTATTTTGTTTGAAACTAAGTTCCCATTTCTTAGCAACTCAGAATCTTATTCCAAAGTTTGTTCTTTGCTTACAGTCCCTGCCTTCTCTTGGAGTGACAAATCCAGGAAGTAAAAATGTCTTTCCTGGTCAGTATGAGATACTGAAATGGTATAAAGTAATTTCTTGAGCTGTAATCTTATTATGCTTAACTGGGAGTAAGGCTTGTTGAATTCAGTGGGAATTGCTTCTAGTCAATTTAAATTATCTTTGGATATTTTGCTTTGTTTTGTTTCTGTTTAAATTCTGTGTTCTGTATAATTGCGTATTTATTATTTTCTCCCCACTTATTCAGAATACATTACAAACAATTATGTATACCTGTAAGTTATGGTTGGTCTGGGGAGAAGTGGCTCATCAATCTTTAATGATAAAATCATAATATATTATACAAGCTTGAGTTATAAAACTGTGCAGTAAAAATCAAGAATTGTAACACTATATTTATGTATTTGGGCAAAAAGATCATAATATTAGTTATCATAGATAATAATGTTCAGTAAGTTCATTTCTTGATTCTTACTGTGGAATTTTTTGAAATCCTTTTTTCCTGGTCAGTATTTAGTCTTGCAGACTGGTCAATACAAGTTACTTCCCCAACATTCCCCATAGTACATAAGCCTGATTGCTTATATATAGATCGATTTTAAAAGCCCATAATCCCAAGAAAAAGTTTAAAGACAAAAAGCTTAGATATAATTATCCTGACATTATAGATTACTTTTCGCCCCTTAGTTTCCAATGGCATTTATATACTTATAAATATATCTGATCAGTATAAATATATTGATATCCAACTTGTAATTCACACTTCCCTCTGTATTGTTGTATCTGTCAGTCATTCTTGATATTTCCAGTTCAGATAGCTCAATGCTGTGTCAAGCTTAATATGTCCGGTACTGAATTTCTCATCTTTTAAACTTTCCTTTCCTTCTTGGCTTCTGTTATCCATTCCATTCATAGTGGCTGGGTTTGCACTGCATGCTGATCCATAAACCATGGTTTATAAACCACAATGGTTGGCTCACATAGCATGCAATGCCAAGATCAAATGAACAACATTGTGGCATCTTGAGATACGTGAACTAAGCTGTGTTGCAATTTCATCCATGAAATCTTTGCTTTTTTTTAATCTGCCACTTCTTATTTAATCCATTGTTAAACTATGTTTCTTTTTACAACATTAGAAAATATAAACTTTTGTCTTGTGTCACCTCAGCAAACCCTTTCATCCATAGCCTGACTGTATCTCATTTTAACTATTCTAGGCTTTTTACTGTGCGGTTTCCCCTTTCCTCCCTTTGATTCATGTCTACTCAGCATTTAGTGTAGCTACCAACTATGAGAATCTTTGTTCCTTGTGTAAGAATCCTTTTAAAGTCTCTTCTACTAAATATTTGTTCTTAGATTCAGAATATTTCAAATATCTTCTCTTCTTCTACCCATCCCTTTGCTGGCTTATCCTGTTTTTCTTCTAACGCTCTTGCACATTTTCCCCAAATGTTTTTATTTGTCCATTTTGAGCATGTATGGTCATGTAGAGATTCTCTGCTCATTGAAATGACTTTGCCTGTATGTCTAAAATTGTTCATCCAGAAGAAAGATAACTTCTCTTATTTCACAATAAGAAATATTCTACAAATGCTCTTCAAAATGCATCTGAATAAATATTTTAAATCATCCCCTTGGTAGCCCCAGTACCACGTTATACATTTAACTGAAATAAGAGTATATTCTTTTCCTTTTTATTTCTACCTCTGTTGCTCCCCTTTCTATGTTTTTCTATGTTTATTTTAGAGTTTTGTTATAGACCACTTTGTTTACTTATTATACCTATACTTTGTAAAATAGAAGTAAACTTTATTGAATGTTTGCCATTTGGTTTTGGCTGATAATATTGAATGTATATTTATTTGTTTTAAAAGCAATGTGACTTTTTTAAGGACAACATTCTAATTTCTTTTTGTTGGCAATTCAAAGGAAGGTGACATTGATCATGGTGGGTCTTGATAATGCTGGGAAAACCGCAACAGTAAAAGGAATCCAAGGAGGTAAGTTGCATATTCTTTTTTAATCTATAATTTTGGGGATATTATTAAAAAGTGAAAACATTTTTTTTCATGTTTAAGCTAGACCCTTTAAAAATTCTATTTGTCATAATCGGGATTGAATATTTACTGTAATATTTTACTCTGTTAAGTCAAATATCTCATTATTTTGGGAGGGGAAAGGTAAACGCTATACACACATGCACATCCCCTAGAATTTAAAGAAAAAGAAGCAGCACTAAAAATCATGTATAGACCTTGAGTTTTCTTGCCTTTTGCTACTGCAGATTTCATTTTTTAACCTACATTTTTTGTTTGGCACTTGTGCAGTGGGTGGAAATAGAACATTGAACTATATGCATAATTGTATGCTTGTTCTTTGGCTTCTTGTTAGGCATATTTGCAGATACCTTAGAATTACTCCTCGTCATCCTGAATAGCAATTGATAGGGAATTAAGGTGATGGAAATACCAACAATAAAGATCCTTGGCAGTGAGAACATCATGCCTGTGTTGAAGGCCCTTGGTATTGCTGCTTTTTTTGTCCACTGTCAGTAATTAAAGTTAGACTGTGAAATAAATTGTTTCACTCCTTGTCATAGGCAGAATACAGGTGGAGTTAGAGCCCCTAGATTCAAAGGCCACATTTATTTATTTATTTGCTTGTTTGCTGCAGTTTATATACTGGCCCAATTCAAACAGAGCTCTAAGTGGCTTATAATATAATATGAACATTTTAATAAATGTTCGTAACAAATGACAAAGCAAAACAAGAATTCCCTGAATAACAACCAACAACATCCAAATCCAAAGCAGGAGGAGCACAAATCTACTTCCAAGTCTCTGGAATAACTAGATTTTGCTGGCTCCCCACTACCCCCCCCCAAAAAAAAGGGAATAGGAAGGGGAGTTGTGACTGAGAAGGCTTATCTCTTGGTCCCTGAAAATAACATTTCTTAAGGCAGCTGTAGAAAGCCTACTGTCCTTGATCATACTGGGTAAGCAAAAGGCACTGGGAGAAATTGATCCCATAGGTAATCAGTTCCTAAACCATGTAGGATTTTAAAGATGGCAACAAGTACCTTGAATTGGACCTGGAAGAAAAGTGTAACATGTGCACTTATTGCAGTAAAAGTGTTACATGGGAGAATCCAGAGACTCCTATCAGTACAAAAACCATTGTACACTGGCCATTTGAAACTTCTGGTTGGTCTTTGAGGGCAGTCCCACGTAGAGCACATTGCAATAAATGAAAGCTAACGTAGTCATGAGTAGAGCCTCCCAGTCCAGGAAAGGTGATAATTGATACAGTAGATGTTGCTGTGCAAAGATAGTCCTAGGCATAGTTGCTGCCTGCTTTTCAAACAGGAGTTATGAGTCCAGGAGGACCTCCAAATTACAATCCAGTTCTGCATGTGGCAGAGCAGCCCAGCCCAGAACCAAGGATGGATTATACCTGGTATTAGAGGGCTTTTGAACCTATAGTTAGGATTGAGCCTGAGTCTTTTCATCTCCATTCAAACCCTAGCAATCTCCAGGCACTGGGATAAGACCTCTACCAAGTGTTTGGCCAGTGATTTAAATATGCAACTAAGTATATTCTGCATACTGATGATATCTAATCCCATGATATATTGAGAGTGTTGAACCCTGTGGCATCCTGTAATGGAGAGATTTAGGGCACAGTTTCTCCCACTTTCACTGGAACCTCCCCTTTAGGAGGGAGGAAAACCACTGCAAAACAGTGCTTTCTAGTCCAGCTCTCATAGGTGATTGAGTTAATATATTGATGGTATTGAAAGCTTCTGAAAGGTCATAAAGCCTTTCATTTCTAGTACCTCTGTTTAAAATAAAAGAGAATAATTGTTGGTAAGTTTTCATGGTCTTTGACAAATTGCTGACATAAATTTGGCTTAATTATTATGAATATATAAAATATCTTCAGCTTAATGAGGCATTTCACTTTTTATATAAGATAGAAAATTGATGGTTCTCCTCTCCTTTTCCTGCTTCTTGATGTGCAATAACTCCTCTTTGCTGTAGAAGCTGAAGCAGCCATTAATGAGCATACAGCAGAAATGTTCATTTATAAATGTTACAGGTACAACCTATTTTGTGACACTGATTTGGGATATAATTAATAAACTGAAATGAAATTATATATGCAAAGTGTGATTCTATTAATAATTTTGTATCCCATTTATAATTAGAAAGTACCAATAATTTGCCAGTTTTTATTTCCTCAGTTTTATTTCTTCAGTCATCCCAAATCCATTCAGTATCATTTTCCCCCTTTGAACAGTACTAATAAAGTAGCTGGTGCACAGGCTCTGAATAGATAACATTTGAGCTGTTGGAAAGCCTGTGAATTGTATTTTTAAGACAGTGCTAAAGCTTTGTTAATACATACATAAATTCCAATAGAAGATAATATATATGGCT